CTTCTGAGGATTCTGGTTTACACCATCAAATTCTTGTATCAAGAGATAGCAGTTGCAGAAGTTAATATAGATGTAAATAACTGAAGATGCAGATACTAGTTTAATTTTTACGTAATTCTATCTGTAATTTCTGAAAAGGCACATTGTATTTTCAGTACAGTTGCACTGTCTAATACTCATTATATTTATCCTGCTGTACTCACACTAGAGCATGCACAAACACGTCGTTTTAAACTAGTTGTTTCCCTTATACCGAGAACCAGTAAATCCTCTCTTCTATGTAATCTAAAGGAAGTGTAAGACTTTGTTTATAGATGCTATTGAGAAGTTTGGTGAAAAGTATGTGTATGTGTGTATTCAATATAATTATATTCTTTCTGTGATTTTTGGAAAAATTAAAAGTTACCTTTGAATATTTTCCTAATACTCGAGCAGCTTTGGAAAACATTTGAAAAGCAGACATACTTTTTTCTTATAGTGCATCACATGTGATTGTCTCTTTGGTAGAAGATTATCCAAGCTATATGATCATAAATCTAGACAAGGTGAGTTTTATAAAAATGAGCTTTATGCACTAAAATTACATTTTGATTTAATTACATTTTTAAGAAGAATCTTGTCATGTTCTTAGTTTTTTAGTCATCTTAGCAATTTAGGGGTCTGTACAGTCATGTGCTCAAGCTATATTTAATCATATGTAAAATCTTTTAAAACTTCCATTTATTTTGCTAGTGCAATATCTTTTATCTTTTTCTTTTACCTTTTCCAAATTCAATATTTAATGTAATGTGATTACTAATCATTTTAGTTTTAGGATACTTTGATTATTTAACCATTTGATTTTTAACTGCCACTTCTTAGAAAATATGTATTTCTTTTTAAATTAACATGCAATTAAGTTAATTTAGTTTTGAGAATATTGGAGTCTCCCTAGAGAATCTGAAGACCATGTTTGGTAATCACTAGATTTTTTACTTTAAACAGAAGATGCAGAAAGAAAAAGAAGAAAATGCAGATGGTCACCATAATTTCATAAAACATTATAGTAAAATTGTATAGGCAAACAATAACCCTTAAATCATATGAACTTTTGCCTGCCTTACTATTATGGAGAGGGATTTTTTTTCTTCCTATCTGTATACTGATTAACCAAGAATTAAGTGAAGAAGAGGCATAATGAATTATACAATGCATAATACAG